CCCTCCCTCCTGTAGGCACAGACCTTCTCCAGGTTGCCGCCCATGAGTTCGGGCACGTCCTTGGCCTGCAGCACTCTCGCGAGCCTGGGGCCATCATGTCCGCATACTACACCTTCTCCTACCCTCTGAGGCTGAGCGAGGATGACAAGCGGGGCATCCAGTACCTGTATGGAGCTCAACCACAGGTCCTGCCCTCACCGCCACCCTCCCCTCCACCTCCATCCAACCCCGAGACTAACGAGATCGTCGCTAATGTGAGTGGAGCTGACGCAACATTACAATAACCAGTTCAAAACAGCTCAAAATAACTATAATAATGTTCTTATTGTCAACAAATCCTATGAAAGGACCAAAACCAACAATGTGTTCCTATGTCTTTCTGACTTCCTGTATGTAGCTCTCAGCTCCAATCCCATTGGTTCCTACCTAAAACAGCTGGAGCAAATGGAGTTTCATTTGTAATAAAGGAAAAAAATGCTCAGTTATTTCCTTGAACAGCTGGTCACTTTAATTTTTATGGAAGTGAATCAGGAAGGTATTGTGCTTTTGAAGTGGACTTTTTTCAGTGGCGGATTAAGCACCATTGGTGATAAACCCTAACAGAAGCATAAGCTTGATTGATCGTGTCTTGTAAGCTTGTTTGTTTTGTTGAGCAGCTTTTAACAATGTCACGCTTGGTTGCAGAAAGTCTCTTTTTATCGAGTTGAGCTCACTTCAAGAAACTCCAAAGGACAAATTAGGTGCCATGCTCTAATGAATATTGACATCAAATAAAACCAACCAACGTCTAGGACCAATCACAGTAGTTCTTACTGAAGACATGCATCTTTAAAATGAATAAAGGTTACTCAAACAGGGGTAAATCGTTTTTTTGTTGGGGACTTTATCAAGCAGAGGATTAATCCCCATTTGGTGCAGTACATGCGGCTCACTTATGTTCTGGAACTCAATGGAGCCCTATGACACAGAGGAAAAGGATATCCGTGGGGAATAAAGTTGATCATTCATTTTTTCTATGGTCTTTGTTGACAAGAGAAATATAGAATAGACCACCAGCCTTATCCCTTTATCCCACAGTGGTTCCTGTGGTCACACACTGTTAAAAAAAGCAAGCATCTTTGAAACTTCACCACTTCATTCAGGGGGGTTTTTTTTTAACCAAAAATTATAAATAATGGTAAAAAGTCATTATTTAGTTATAAGCACTTGGAAACAGTTTCTTCTAAGTTGTAACCGAGAGGTATTTTACCGGACGTTATTTTGGGATCCTTTCAGACAATAAAACGGCTCCTTAACACTCCATACTGCTGCAATAAAAAACATCTTGGAAGAAACTTTACACTTGTGTCTCATTTTCAGCCTGACGCCTGCCAGACGGACTTTGATGCCGTGTCTATGATCCGAGGGGAGCTGTTCTTCTTCAAGTCGGGCTACGTGTGGCGGATCAGGGACGGGCATCTGGAAAGCGGTTACCCAGCGCTGGCGTCCCGTCACTGGAGGGGGATTCCCAACAACATCGACGCCGCCTTTGAAGACAAGTCAGGGAATATTTGGTTCTTTCAAGGTGGGCATTGACGACGGTCTGAGCTGTGCTGTTATGTGGTTAAAGGTTTCATGTGAGTGCAGCAGTCACCAAGTATCAAGCAGCCTTGGGCAAGTTTAAACTGGTGCTAAGTGGTAATTAACACAGAGCTGTAGAGTTGTTTGTGTGTATTTCCATTAGATGTGGTTAAGGTGAAATGTTTCCTTCAAACATATGTCAGTCCCATTCCTCACTATGAGGGCCATAAACATAATTTGAAGTCAGATTACTAGTGATAGGAATAAGGACCTTTTGGGATCTTTTGAGTTAATTCCCAAGAGCCCTAATTGCTCTTTTTTGTCATATATTTATATTCTTCGCCAAACCTCTAAATCGTTTCCACCGTCTTTTAACATCTTCCTGGGGTATAGTCTTGAGTTGTATAGACAGGGCTAAAAAGCTCTAGAAATAAATGGCATTGTTCAACATCTCTCTCTCGGGGCAGGTGAGAATTACTGGGTGTTCGATGCCGAGATGCAGATCCGAGGGCCGGAGTCCATCAGGAGTTTGGGTCTGTCGGTGTCTGGGATCCAGGCGGCGCTGCGTTGGGGCCACGATTCCAACTACAACACCTACTTCTTCAAGTCGGGTAGCTACTGGAGGTTCAGCCCCCGAGAGCAGAGGGTGGAGTCCGTCTACCCGCGCAGCATGAAGGACTGGAGCGGCATCCCTGACGAGGTGGATGCCACCTTCAGGGATGTCTACGGTACGGTCCAAGGCAAAACTAACCAAGTCAAAGAGTTCCTATCTGAAAATGTTCCCCAGGGATTCATAGATAATCCAGATATCTTTATTTTTTTTGTTTTATAAGCTAGTTGGTTTGTTGGGATCTGATTTATTTACACAGAATGTTTTATTTTATCTTTCAGGCTACGCTCACTTTGTCCGAGGTCGACAGTACTGGAAGTTCGATCCCGTTGGCATGAACTCTTTGGAGGGCTATCCCCGCTACATCGGCATGGACTTCTTCGGATGTAGAAACATTTGAGCTATGGAGAACAAGAGCCAGATTTATGACTATGAAGAGGAGTTCTTGAAGCAATGACGTTTGTGTGCTCATCCTGCGGTTTCTAGAAGGATGGCAATATATATCCGTTTACGCTTTCCTCCATTTATTACACCTTCTTCTCAGGAAAACCAAGTAATGTTTCCTCAGACTTAGCACCTCCTGTGCAGCTGTACTCGTATTTATTTTGCACATTTTTGTAACCATAAAGCTGAGGTCTGGGCCCTGTATTAACAACGTGTGATGCTGCATCGCTCTCACTTCCTGTCTTTGAGCCTGGAATGTTCGACTGATTGTGGTTTTCAGAAACTGTAAAGGATATGTTCCATTACATCTATTCTGTAGTGTTACTTCCATTAGGAGCAAAGCACTGTAGTTTCAAAAACGATGTAAAGAGGGGAAACAAATCAATGTGCCAAAACACATGCAAATGAAGAAACCTGTTCTTCACCAGCTTAAAGAAACATGCACAGCGTTCACACACATTTTGGATACACTAAACGCTGCAAATAAAAGAAAATCGCAAGAAATTAGCTCAAAACACAACACAAACAGGGACACTAAAAAGTAATGCACACAGCTGTGAAGGTGACCGTGTCACCCGTGTCATTGCTGATGTGTTTCGCCAACAACAACAACCGAGTGTTTCGAGCCAGGTCCCGTTATCTCGCAGGACAGTGCACCCAGCAAGAGCCTCCAGCTAGATTTGATCGATATGGACATAAACGCGAGTGAAGTCTAATCGGACAGGAGAGAGAGATCAGAGATCAGCTGCTGCTGACGGAGACACGTGGGAGAGGGGGAGGAAAAGAGAGGCTCCGTGTATTATTGTTATATTATTATATAGAGTCGTTATTAATTTGTTTTAAAGCGACAGCACTTTTCTAATTTTGTCCGGAAGATTTCAACTTTAAAGGACATGTTGACCGGCGAACATTTTTTTGAACGGAAACTCTGCCGCACGGTTCCCTCGTCCCTTGGAAGAGGCGGAAAGGTGGGTGTTTTTCATCTGCTGGTGGTATACCAGGGAGATTTACAGCAGGAGCAAACGCTTGCCTCTGGGAGGGAGAAAAAGAGAAACAGCCAGAGCCCTGCCTCTCCCCACCTCTGCTGCTAAATCCGCCGTGGAGAATTAACAGAAGGGCAACCATGCTCGGGAAGTGTTCTTTGCTGCTTTTGGTGTATTTTGTGGCGGAAGTACAGCGCAACTTGCAGGCCCGGCATATGTACTACAGCGTCTCCAGCGGGTCGAGCGGTCTCGTGTGAACGGAATACTTTTTTGATATCGAATTCGGTTCATTTTCGTTTCCGTTCCCGTGTAAATGGGGCCTAACTCTGCCAACAGTGACAGTGGACCAACTTCATAACGCCTGAACATCAACAAGCACTCCGGTCCCAGCAGTGTGCGTCACTTTTTAATGTCCAAGTTTTCGTTTATGCAGAGCTTTTAATAAACTCTGAGCATGTGTTGTCGGGTTTGGCGAAGATGTTTCTTCATTTGCATGTGTTTTGGCACATTTGTGGTTCTTTTACTTGGATAGTTTCTGAAGCTGCAGTGTGTTTATCCGAATGGATTGTTTTGGGCCGGTGTAGCGCGTTTGCATGGGTCGGTCGTCATATGGATGGACTGCCGATACTCAAGTGTTTGAATTGTGACATCAAACTTAAAGCTGCAGAAGGTAGATTTGTACATTTTCTCTGCAAAGAGCATGTATTAATGCAATAGCCGCTTTCACACCAAGTACTTTGCCGTACTTAGTTCCCAGCACTTAGTTCCCCCATGAAACTAAAGAGCAGATCGGGTTCACACAGGAATAATTCCCTGAGGGAAGATTAGGCAAATGAAGCCACTGACGTCACTTCTTCTTCTGCTTTGGGTTTACTGGCAGGCCACAAACAACTTCACGGCGTATACTGCCACCCGAAGTCCCCGGCCGGAAGTCCCCGGAGTTGGGGACTGGCTTCCGTGTAAATCGCCTGAACGCTGACACCTCCTCATCACTCCAAAGCTCCCATGTTTTTTTTTGTGTTGCCATAAGTTATTCTCTCTCCGTTGGTGCGCTGGGCTAATGCTAATACTAATAATGCTAATGCCAGCAAATACAATGGCGGCTTCACAAAACTTTTCCGAGTTTTACGGGGCATGGTTTGCAATCCGCCCAGAAGAAATTGGAACATTTTTTGTCCCCAGGAAATTACCAGCTCTCTAGCAGGGACTGAAAAGGGGGGAAAAGTTCTCATGAACTAAGTTCTCTTTTTGGTGTGAACGCAAAATCCAGGAACTATCGGAACCAAAAGGGAAAAGCACGGGGAAATGATGTCGGTAAACAAGAGTTGAAGGATGTTTTCACATATGCAGTTGATTTCCCTGCCTTCCTGAATCACACTGGCCATGAATCAGAACATAAAAACTAAATTCACAGTACTTTGAAGTCGGTCTGTTATTATGCAGAGGTTTGGAAAAAGCTGCATATGGATTATTTTGTGACACAGTCATAACTTTGAGAATGATGGACTTGTGTTTTTAATGTCCCATTGTGAATCACTCCGGCAGCACACTCTGTTTGGTGTCAACAAAAGCCAAGTTTCCGTCCAAATGTATTGCAAATTTTTACAGAATTTCCAGAAAACTTTCATAAGAAAATGCAAGCTACTGTTGTGCAAATATTAGGAGTGTTGTTGATCAAGAGAAACAGTTGCAGTAATACTTCACAGCCATTAAACCTTTGCAAAAGAAGTGTGAACACTAAATAATGATGTGGAAAACACAATGGAATTGATGTGTTTTTTTTTTACTGCTTTGCAATGATAAGTGCTGTTTAATTCACATGCTTAATTTAAGTCAAGATTCATTCCTCATAACTGTTGATTAAGGTTTACGGTTTACTAAAAGTCAACAACTAACAGTTTAAAGATATTTCAACTGGTGTTTCCATTCAGGTTTTTTATTGCTCAACTTCAAAATGCACATAAAAACAGGTGGATGGAAACACACTAACTTGACGCAAATGTGTGTGACCGATTATTAGCAAATCTCTGCAGTGCTGGCTTTTTATTGGAGGATGATCTGAAGAGTTCAGATATCGCATTAGAGATTCATATTGACAAAACATCACCTCTGAAAAACGATGGTGGTCACAAGGACCTTTATCTAGTTTATTCTAAAAATAATGTAGAAAGTATTGTATTTATTTTTCATATTTGGCCAAATGTTCAAGTTTTGAGTACGTTTTTGGGATATTATGTGACCTAATTCTTCTTCCCTGAAACTTTTACAATACAACAACATGAAGACTTAAAGAAATGATGTATCCATATGAGGTATAATGTATAATGTGATAACATCACTGTATGTCATGTTTTGTTGTCCCTCTTCTTGATGACTCACCAGACTGCAGGTTCTCTGTGGTAGTGAAAAAGCTCCAGTGCGCCATCTAGAGGGCAGATGTCAATTATTTCCTCCTTTTGTGTCTTTCATGTCTCAAACTTCATTAATTCATCGCTGTTCTTTAACAAAACACGGTGCTCAAATCAGGTCACACAGTCAGTGTGATGCATTCAGGGACACAAGCTGCTGCGTGGATCAGCGGTTTTCACCAGGAGGCTTTTGCTATTTTTTGCCGAACCATAAGACAAATGTATTAGGCCTATTAAGACACAAATGGCATTGGTGGAAAGGTACATTCACTCAAGTATAACTTTGAGGTACTTTACTTGAGTATTTCCATACTTTACTAGCTTACATGTGACATGTTCTGACCTCTGAGGATCAGGTCACCCTGGTTGAGAACCGCTGAGTCATCGTTGCAGCGCTTGAGATGTGAAGGCTTAGTTCAGACTGTGGTGCTCAGTGCAGTTTTTCAGTGCAGGACGCTGACGAGTCATTGTTCAGACTCTGTTCTTTGAATTGTTTCTGCAACTCAAGTGTTAACCAGTGAAATAATATTTATACACAACTTAGCATAAGTTTGTTGTACATACATGTCTTTGATTACTTTTTTTTGTTTGTACTCATATGTAGCCCATACCCAGTGCATTGAAATGTATGAACTGCATATTGTTTGCTTTCTAATAAAAACATAACCTTTTTACCAATCGATCTATTACTATGGTTCCAATACTAGACATAGTGGATAATAAATAATTATATGTAGCCGTATTATTATTAGTAATAATAATTTTATAGATTTTATTTTATTATTATTGATTTGTCTTATTGTTATGCAAGTATCGGTACTATGCAAGTATTACATTTGTTTTGTTGTACAAACTTAATTGATAAGCTAAATCCAACTGAGTTAAAGGACTTTTTTTAAGGGGCGCTAAGGGAGAAAGGGTATTTTTTTATTATTATTATTTTAATTAATCCACTCATTGTTGTTCAAGTATCATAACCATCACATTTTTATATAGGTAAACAATTTAAAATCTTTTTCACTTACTTTGGAAAGTAAATCCAACATAAATGAAATACATTTTTTAAAGAAGTTATTGTTGAATAAAAAATATGAAGGTATCATAACACTGGGGTTAAATGTAGAGATCATAAAAATAAAGTATCTTTATATTTCTGCACCTGAATTCTGATGTCTTTGCTTTAAAAGTGACCATAGCATGTGAAAGAGTTGTCAGTGTGTGGGGTGGATGGTGTTAATTGAAGGGTGAATCTGATTGGCAGAAGGCAGTGAGGGGGTGGGACCTGTGTTGTTGACTCACCCAGTGAGCAGATGATCGCTGACAGAGAGCAGCAGCAGCACGATGGCTCACAGCTTCACTCAGGAGTACTTTCAGATCCCCGTGGTGACACGAGCGTACACCACCGCCTGCATCCTCACCACCGCTGCTGTGGTAAGAAACCATGACAACAACAACAACAACAACAACAACAGCTTAAACTCTGGCCACCAAACTGGGATCACAAATAAAACTATTATTGAGATATAGAGTTAGAAACTATTCATTTTCAAATGTTACTACTCTTAAAATGTACAATCTACCTATTAAGAGTCGATCTATGTTAATTTCAGATTTTTTTATACAGTTAGATCATACGGTTTATTATGTTGTTTCCACATTTACTAAGATAATAAATAATTGTAAAAGGCTTAAACTACCAGATATTCAAATAGTTTTGAGATCTTTATATTGGAGCTTTTCAAATGTTTAACTGTTTTTAAATGTTGGAAACTCTTTGGGATGTATCAGGGTTTAACATTAAAGCACTTCACTTTGTCAGTTTAAAAATATATTAAAATCAAAGTTTAAGTTTAGGTTCCTTTTTTGAAAGACTCTGATATACAGGACTGTCTCAGAAAATTCGAATATTGTGATAAAGTTCTTTATTTTCTGTAATGCAATTAAAAAAACAAAAATGTCATACATTCTGGATTCATTACAAATCAACTGAAATATTGCAAGCCTTTTATTATTTTAATATTGCTGATTATGGCATACAGCTTAAGAAAACTCAAAAATCCTATCTCAAAAAATTAGAATAGTTCCTCAGACCAAGTAAAAAAAAAAGATTTATAACAGCAAAACACAATCAAACATTTGAAAATGTCCATTAATGCACTCAGTAATTGGTTGGGAATCCTTTTGCACGGATTACTGCATCAATGCGGCGTGGCATGGAGGCAATCAGCCTGTGGCACATCACTTCAAAAGTAGCTTAATAATAAATTTATTCTAGTAGATGCTCCTGACAGGAGTCTTTAATCTATGAAACACTATTTTCAAGAAATAAGACATACGTTATTTTTTTGTTCTTACAGTATG